GGGCACCACGCCCTGGCCCCAAAGTCCACCTTTAGCATTCACTGGGGACCTTGCTGCTCCATTCCCATGCTGTTCGGCTGCACTCCCCCAGTGCTTTGCCTCAGTGTATGTTTCTTTTACATATAATGTTGCTATTGGTTTGCAATTGATTTTATGAAAGTATTGTTCTGTTCCTGACTTATTCCTGACCATTACTCTGAATCTGAAAGATTATTTAACTTTCCCAAATGCATTTTTGACATAACAGTGATTTTGTCGGAAGGGTTTTCTTTGACTTTGTTGATGTTTCAAATTATATTTTATAGATTTCCTAACATGTACCCATTCTTGAAGCATTCTTGAATGTACCCATTCTTGATCATAAAATAATATTTTTTTTATCATGATTGATTACATTCACTAGTATTCTGGGATTTAGTATCTGTTTTCTCAGTGAAGTTGACAGTTTTCTTCTTTGTGCTGTTTGTTATTTTCTCATATCAGAGTTAGAACATGAACTGAGATGCTTGAAATTAAGAGCAATGAGAACAGCCTGAAAATCATTTGTGCCTTGGTACTTCTGCTTCTTTTTATTCAGTTCTGCCAATTTATGTGACCCTAAAAATATCTCCATTTTGTGTAGATTTCAAATCTAGGATAAATAAGGAAATGGCACTTCTCTTCAACTAAGATGTTTTAACCTAAATTCTGATGTGACCAGACCATACTGACTGGGTCTTGTTCTTTTTGAACAAGAGTCATAGTTTTAGTTGCATCTTGTCATTGAAAAACTACTCTGTGATTTTGTGTTGGTTTTCTATATTCACTGTTTTCTTGCTTTCATTGGCTTGATTGAACTTTTTGAGTGCTTTATTTTCATTATTTAGTGATAGAAACTTTTGAGGCACTGACTTTTCTGTGATGTATTTTTTAAGACCCCAACATTTCATTAATGAAGTTCTTAAACATACAGAATAGTTGAGAACGTTTCGTTTTACTGTTGGAAGGGACTGAGCACGACCCTATGAATTACCAACCCATAGAGGACATAAAGGCATGCAAAAAATGAAAGAGAATCATGGAAATCAAGAGAATAATATTTTAAAAAAATGTTTTGCTCCATTTGCTATTTCCAATGTGATGTGATTTTATATATATATATATATATATCCTTTAAAAATTAGAAATACAAAATTAAGACAGCATATCCTTTAGATAAGTTTAAATAAGTTTAAAAATTTTATTGGGGGCTCATACAATTCTTATCACAATCCATACATACATCAATTGCGTAAAGCACATTTTTTGCTATCATTCTCAAAACATCTGCTTTCTACTTGAGCCCTTAAAATCAGCTCCTCGTTTTCCCCCTCCCTCCCCACTCCACCCTCCTTCTTGAACCCTTGATAATTTATA